TAATATATTTTTTCTAAACTCATCATCCATGCTTCCTGTTTCTATTATTATATTTTTCCTTTCAATATGTTTTTTTCCTATTCTGGTTATTTCTTTTTCTATAAATTTTTTATCTACTCTATTATTCTTTTCTTAATTTTCTTTTAATTTTCTGACTTCAAGTTTTAATATATTTATATCATTTCTAGTTTCTTCTATTTCATTCTTAATTTCTTGTACATCATTAATTAATGTTCTTATTAAATATTTTAATTCTTCCATATGTTCACTGATTGACATTTTATTTATTTTTTGATTGACAATAAAATACTACTTATTATTTATTAATCTTATTCTCCTTAACTTTCCTTCTAAAATATTTTTAGTTTTTTCCATTATATTTTTATGATGATTCATATATTTCTCTATGATACAATTCATTTTCAAATATTTCGCAAATTATTTCATATGTACGTCTATCTTTGATAAATCCTACAATTAATTTATGTAATATTTGTTTTTTTATTTCTCTAGGTAAATTCCTAGTTATATATAATGTTATTATTTTTAATTTATTAGGGATGGGGTTGTAAAATATATAACATCCTTTTTCTTCAATACATTGATAATAATTATTTATTTTTAAGATTTTCATGATCTCTATGGCTCTGATACTAAAGGACGGTTACTACTATGAGTGAACAAAAATCTAATAATCTAAAAATCTAATAATCATGAAACTAAAAATCTAAAATTTTAATATTCCAAAAACTCTTTTATTTTTGCTATTAGGTGTATATAAAGTCTTAAGATAAAAACTAATTTTTTGTATGCTTGTGGTAATATATTTTTTATTATCTTTTTCATAAATTTTTAAGTAATTCTTCAAAATTTAGTAATGTGTGGGAATTTATAATATCAATATCTGTTATCATATCTATGTCTGTTCTAAAAGGTATATCATATTTTGAGATATTTTTCTTTCTTTTTTCCAATTTATCTATTATATCTTGTATATCTTTTATGATTATCGATCTTACAATTCGTTTAGCAAAATTTTCTAATAAGTTTTCTTTGAAATATTTTAATATTTCTTATGATGCATATAATTGTTCTTGATATCCTATCTTATCAATTTCTTTTTCAAACTTAATTTCTTTTTTTATTTTTAACAACCTTTTTTATATTATATGGTCCTCTCTTATATTTGGATTTTTCTATTTTATAATTATTCATTAATAATTCTCACAAATTTTTAGAAAAATTACTTGTTAGATTTTTTAAAGACTTAAATAGAAGATTTTTATTAGATAAAGGGTTGTTTTTTTTAATATTTGTTAAAGGGTGTTTTAGGTAGTTCAAAATGTTTATAAAAGTCAAAGGTCATTTTGGAAAATCTCTCTCTTATTTGGGTCAATTTCATGTATTTCCCTCGTCCAATTAGGAACCAATCTCAGATTGTGGCGACCCTGTTTTCGTCCCCAGAGCTTTATTCTTTTTCAAGGCAGGAATGCGCAGGTAACGGTGGAAGGACTATGACATTTGATTTGATTTAACGGTAGAGAGACTATGACTCCAAGTTACACAGGGCTCACTCCGTACATTTGTACAGCACATGGCTTTTACCCTTCCTTGGGTTATTTTAAAGGCTGAATCCCAATCTTGATAGTCACATCGTTCCGTTCCTAGGGTTTTGTGAAGGAAGTAAATTGTGGGAGAGAACAAAAGCTGTCTGTACACTGCGCCTACAAGGAATCTAATTTCATGTATCAGGAATTGAACCCCCACACTACAACTGCCAGTAAAATTTGAGATAACATCATTTATGTCCTTTTTATCAGTGAGCCCCAAGGGGCTTCCTTAGGGTTATTTTAATTGTACATCAAAAGATGTATGTCAAGGCATTTTATTCGTAGTGGGATCCTCTCCATGTGAAGGGATTACTTTGATGATATACATTGAGTATAACCCTTTTTCCTTAAATTGAAGGGATGTACAAATGGGTTTTTCCTTAAATTCGAGTCTTTAAATTATGGTTGGTCAAATCCTCCTAATTGAATTCAATCGAATAGGACCCGATTCGAGCGGTTCTTTTTAAATGAAATACCCGAATGAATATTTGAATTGAGAACCAAAAAGTTCGGTTCAATTCTCGGTTCTAGATCAAGAACCAAATTTCCTTATTTTTTAATTTATTTATTTTAAATAAGTCAAATTATTTTTTTCTCTAAATAAATTTACTAACTAGTTAATTCAGTTCAAACAAAAAAATATGATTTTTCCTATTTCTAATTTTCAGTCAAAACCTAACTTAATCAAATTGATCTAAGTTTTACCCAAATTTGTTATTTTACCGTAATGTCGTTTATACCATTCTATAGAAATCGTATTGAAACTCGACAACTCTCCTGTGATTTTAACAATCAAATCTATGAAAAACTCAATAAAAAGAGATAAAAAAGGCATAAAATTAGACTACGTTATTTTATAAGAGCTAAAATTGAACATATCATTAGTTAAATTGATGTAATTTTGTAAATATTAAAAAATTAATTATAGTACAGAACCTGGGAACCGAACTCGAACGGTTCCATAATTAAATTTGGATATGACGATTTTACTTACTAAATACCTGAAAATTTCAGGTCCAGTTCCGAATCGAACCGGACCATGCCCACCTCTACTTTGAACTTTATACACACTTGATGTCAATGTGATCATTTAATTTGATTTTATTTTATCATGGTGGCGTTACTTTATACTAATGTTACCAAAAACACCTAATTTAATTTTTATTTTATTATCGCCACTCAATTATATATAACGTCAGCATGATAGTGGTGGCAGTGGACTGAGCCGAGTCAAGCCGACTTGGCCCATACCCACGAGCTCGACTTATGCAACCTATGAGTTTGTGAGTTCACGAGCCAAGCCAAGTCAAGCTCAAGATTTTTTTATCATTTTTTTTTTTAATTTTTTGCACTTTTTTTATACATATTTTTGACGGACTCACTAGCTGAGCTAGTGGGCTCGTGAACTTTAGGCTCTGGGCCGTGCTCATGAGCTCAATGAGCAGAGCCTTTGCTCGGCTCGAGCTCAGGCTCTTCCCAAAACAAGCTCGAGCCGTCCATGTGCCAATTTTGACGAGCCAAGGCTCAACTTGTCAAGCGAACTCCCCATTTAGCTTGGGTTGAGGCTTTGACTCGTCCGAAAACGAGTCGGATCCGTCAATGGGCCAAGTTTTGATGAGCCGAGTCGACATGCCGATGTACTCGACCCTTTAGCCATCCCTACGCCATAACCATCCTTCTTTTCAACATTTTCACGATTTTTAAAAGAGGTAAAATGGAAACTTTACATTGTATATAAAATAATTTTAAAAAATATAAAATAAAAACTTTTGTTGAAAAAATAAAATACTGAAAAAAAACTTATTTAAAAAAGGTTACTTAAAAATAAAATAAAAATTTATTTTAAAAAAAGTTAATTAAAAATAAAAACTTATTTTAGAAAATGTTTCTAAAATAAAATAAAAAATTATTTTTTAAAAAAGTTACTTAGAAAAATAAAATAAAATAAATTTTTTTTAAAAAAAAATCCTTAAGAAATAAAAAAGAAAATCTTATTTAAAAAAAAAACTTTTTTAAAATAAAATAAAATTTATTTAAAAAAAGTTACTTAGAAAAAATAAAATAAAAGGTTATTTTAAAAAAAAAGTTCCTTGATAAAATAAAATAAAAACTTATTTTAAAAAAAATGTTAGTTAAAATAACGTAAAAATTTATTTTAATAAACGTTAACTAGAAAAATAAAATAAACTTATTTAAAAAAATAAAAAAAAACTTTTAGTTTAATTTTTTTACAATTTATTTTTTATATATAATACAAAGTTACCATTTTACCCTTTTTTAAAAATTAATGAAAATGTTGAAAAGAAATTTGGTGGCCATGATGAAACGTTATATGGAATGAATGATCATAGTAAAATAAAATTGAATTTCATGATCATGATGGCACTAAGTATAAAATTGATGGTCATAATAAAACAAAATCAAATTTGGTAGCAACTATGACACTAAATATAAAGTTGAGTGGCCATTAATGAATTAAAAGCCCTTTAATGTATTTTATAACGGTTTGGGTTTGGCCTATTTCTCGTTAAATAGTTTTTGAAACAACAAATGAGTAACTAAAACACAACTCCATTCAAATTCGAATTACCCACATAACATTTAACCAAATCCTATTAACTTTAGTAGTTTAAACTATTCATATCTATATGCACCAAGATCTCGATTCATGATTTTATTATTATTATTATTATTATTCTTTTTGGTTCGAGAAATCAAGATAAGATGAATAGAAGTGACTCTTTTTCATTTTGAATTCCATCTTCGAAGGAAAACAGCAAATTGGAGCATTGTCCCCTTGGTCTTTAATGTTATCAAAATTATTGTACTTGTACCAAATTGATCTAGATTTATTTTTCGTAATAACATGATTTCTACCAAAAATAAATAAAATGAAGGAAATGAATAAATAAAATAAAAATGAAACAAACTACAAGTCTTCCATCTACTTCAACTACACTTCCACCCCCCAATTGCGTTCGACTCTCAACTCGCAGTCGTTAGCCATTGTTCTAACTCTTACCAGACTCTACTAACTCTCAGGGTTCTATCTGGCCCACCCTATCTAGCCCATAGGTAAGCCCAACATAATTTCTTTTTCTTTTCTTTATTTTCTATCAAAATTATGAGTCTTTCCTATTATATCTTCAATATATTGTTTCACGTGTCGTGCAGATCCATGTCAATATAAAATTGAATGGTTTTCATTCAATAAGTTTAATTGTATGACTACAATGAAAGGTTGAAGACCAACATGTTCCATTGTAAGTATTGTTTGGCAAAGCTTTTAAACTTATAAGTCGTGAATAAATACGTAAATAGTAAGTAACTGTGGATAAAAAATTTATTAGAAAGCAAAAATTAGGGGTGTAAAGCTACGCGGCTCAACCCATGCACCTTACATCTTGTGGTTGGCATGCCTTTAAAGGTGAGTTGTACCATGCTTGGGGACCTACGAGCCTTGTTCATTTCTTTATTTTCTTCACAAATAAATAAAAAAGTTCTAAAATAAGTGTTGGATCGATGTATTATAATTTGTTTTGCCATATATAGTTAAGTAGATGCTCCAAAACAAAGAAATTTTCACATATCGTTAAGGTTTTTACGTTCTTTAAAGTAGTTAAAAAAAATTTCCTTATTGCCTTTTTCTGATAAGCCGTGTCTTTCCCTGCTAAGGCATTGGCGTTTTTCTTCTTGATGATGGCATTGGCTCTCTTTCGGACATCCATGGCTGCGGTGTATCAGGTTGGTGATTCTGCAGGTTGGAACGCTTTCGGTACCGATTATGGAACCTGGGCTGCCGCCAATACCTTCTAAGTTGGAGACTCCATAGGTATAAATTGTACTCTTCTTCTTTTGTGCACACGACAGACTATTAAATCGATCTCTATCTCGTTTGATATCAAACTGCGAGATCGTGTTTGGACCTCGAAAGTTTCTTCTTTGTATATCGTTTAATTTCTTGATATCTTTTCAATTCCTTTTGCTAACTATTGATTGTGGCGTATATTTGCAGTTTTCAATTACAACCCTCAATTGCATAATGTTCTGCAAGTGTCCAAATCAGATTATCAAACATGCACAACCTCAGCGCCTATTGCAACCTTCAACACTGGAAGTGATTCAATCCTTCTTCAAACCTCTGGGAATCACTACTACATCTGCGCCTTCCACTGTCAATCTGGAATGAAAGTTCCTATCGAAGTCCCACCCGGCGGCAACCCGTCTCCACCTGCTAACGACCCATCTACGCCCGTCAACAACCCGTCTCCACCAGAAAACAACCCGGATACGCCCACGAACCCGGGATTCAGAGGCTATATTTATCCTCCTCCATATCTTCAAGGGTATGATCCAAAATGGTCCTATGGTGGTTCAAGCAGTCTGTCCTCCGGAAAACTTGGACTGCTGATTGGTGTGGTTTCACGTCTATTGGTTTTCTATCTTTACTAGTGAACATTTTTTGAAATTTAAGCACTTTAGAATAGTGAAATAACGATCAAAAAATCAATTTTTGGACCAAAAAATCAATTTTTTGGTCCAAAAAATCACTCCCAAACAAGCTGTAACTCTTCTTTACATTCCTATTTTGTGTTTTCATACATATTTTAACAAGAACGTTTTTATTTTACGGCTTCATTTTTACGTTCCTCCTAATGAAAATTAGGATTAGATACATGAGAAGTACCCAAGAAACGTAGTAAAGCTCGCGACTTGACCTGTAAAACAAAAAGATAAATCCTCAAATATACACATACACAAATGCAGAAAACTGGAACATAGAGTAGAATGTTGACTGATAAAATCATACATTGGATAATTAACAAAATATAAATCAACATATAAGGATTTGGATTATTCGTATTAATGGTGTTGACATTTCAAAATGAAACTTTCAAGTGTTAATATGGTATCAGTACCATTAAATTTCAACGAACAATTCGATCCGATTAATACTTGAAAACAAAACATAGATTTCAAATTGACTTTGTAAGTTGACAATAAGATTCGACTTTGTACTTGTGCTTGCACTAATATCAAATCGACTCACCCAAGTGCACACAAATCAACAAGAGCGTGAAGGAAGGACTTCTATTTCTGTGGACAGAATACTGTAAACAACCAAGTCATGAATTCTCCCCTTAAGGTACGAGTACTTTCTCAACAGACCTTCCTTGCTAAACCCGGTTTTCTCCACAACCCGCTGAGAGGCCTTATTCTCCACATCAACATAAGCCTGCAGCCTTACTAGTTCAGGAAAATCACGAAACACCTGAGGAATTGCCATCTTAACAGCATTACTAGCAATCCCTTGGCCCCAAAACTCGGCTGCTAAGGCATACCCGATGTCCGCTCGACACCTATCCTTGCCCGATCCCGGGAAAACCGATATGAATCCGATCGAACGGTCATCGATGCATATAGACCGTCGCCATGGATGTGGCATGCAAACTTCTTCGATGAAAGTCAACGCCTCTTGTTCAGACGTCAAAGTCTTCCAAGCGATGGACCTGGTAACTCGATCATCGCCTGCCCATGAGAATAAATCGCCGGCGTCTGGTGGCCTGAATTCGCGCAAGGTAATGCGCGACGGATCCATCGCTGTGTCGGACGAAGAACAGTCAAACTCCCTTTGCATCACTACCATTAGCAAAAGTGGACGTCTACCACTTCATTCAATTTAATAAATTATTATAAAAATGGTTCAATAGTGGACGATTATAATACGGACCACATCATTCAATTTTTAAATTTAAGGTAAAATAATACGTAGCTTTTTTCAAAATTTGACGTATTATTCTTTACTACATGCGAATGTTGAAAATGGAAATTGCCTGTTGTACACTATGTTTGCACAGTATAGTGTACAATCACCTTACAATACCGGGGATTCATACATTTTTTTATTAATGATGGGCTTTCTCATGTGTGAGTGGGTTGTACACATAACCAACTTTACCCGTTGAAAATAGTATCCCAATGCACTAATTGAATGGATTCTTTATTACACACAACCACCTTTATCCGTTGAAAATAGTGTCTCAATGCACTAATCGAATAGATTCTTTTTGTTTTTGTATAGTTACAATTCAAGAACGTCACGTGTTAGTTGATTAATTTAACGTTTAATTAGAAATTGATACGTATATTTTAACTTTAATATTGTAGTGCATGAGACAGTAAAAAAATCATGAATTTGAACAACTTATAATTTGTAAACTTGTCCATGCATTTAATATTAATTAATGAAAGAATGAATTCCACTTCTACATGAAAAGACGTGGGAAGAAAAATCTAAATCAAATAAAGTCTTGATATATTATTATGTTGTTAAGTAAAGTTGCAATTCAAATACGTTTATTTATAAAAGAAAGTCACGCTGTTTGGTTGATTAATGTTAGATTTAGCTCATATTTGGTGAGAGTAAAAATTAGATTTTTAGTAGATTTTGATGAAATTTGATAAAATGTGTGATTGAAAAATTGTGGATTTTACAATATATGTTATTAAAATTAATTGTTGACTTTGATTTAAATTAAAATTTAGATTTTAATCACTACCAAAAGAATGGTCTTATTATCTACTTGACAAATTAGGCCATAAAATTATGTTCGTATCTTAAATTTTATTTAATAAAGAATTAAATCAAATGTATTTTTTTTTTTTATTGAAATACATTTTTGTACAATAGCAGTAGCAATATTTGGGTTTTTTCTTAAGGAAAGTTGCAATTGAAATATATTTTTGTACAATACAGTAGCAATATTTGGTTGATTAATCTTGCGTTTATTATCTGCTTAACCAAGTAGATATTTACTAGAGAATTTTAACTCTATTATTATAGTGTATGAGACTACAAATTAGTCTTAAATTTAAGTATAGTCGCAGCCTATTTATAAAAATTGCGTCATAAATGCCTTTAATTTCAGTATAATATAGGCACGTTAGCTTTAGGATTAAGAGAAAATTTGAATAGGGACAAGTTGTGCATGTTTGTCTACATTCCTATGTTGTGTTTTCGTACCTGAGTTATGTTACAATGACAAAGAATTTTGACTAAGTTGGATCTACACCAATTATTTCAAAGACAAATTTTTAAATCATTTGAAATCAGTAGCCTGGATTATGCCAACACACTTTGTAAATTCACTTTTGTAGCTCAACTTTGTTGAAGTACAATTATTGTTCATACATAATAATAGAGCTTGTTTGGTAAAGCTTAAAAGCCAATTAAAATCAATTTTTTTTTACTCTATTTCACTATTCCAACTGTCATTTTTGAATTTTTCTCTCACGGGTAAGATCCAATTTATCTCTAACGGTTAAAAAATTAATTATCAAAATCTCTACCAAATAAGCACTTTATCTATAACAAGAATGCCTTGTACATTCTTCTCTACCTCCTAATGAAATTAATTATGAAATTTAAACAAAAATAAGACTCTATAGATCGTTTGTTTGGCCTCTCACACGACTTTAAATTGCAATAATTAATCGGAAGTTTGCTTTGCAATTGTTTCTGCTCGAAAAAATTGTTCACCAATAATTTATTAATAATAGAATGATTTCTAATTCCAAAATCAATTTGAGTTGTGTTATGTATAATGGTGCGTGCATCTTCAACAATTTTCATAGCACCACTATAATCACAAAATAAAATCGAATAATTGAGTATAAACTATGAAGTTCACTATTTAGAACAAGGACTTAATTTCTATCTAAAAAACTTCAAATAAAAGATTATCTAGAGCCTGTTTGGGAGTGATTTTGACCTCATTTTCAAATTATTTTTAAAATGAAAAGAAAGCAATATTAAGGAAAAATTGCAACAAGAATCCCAGAACTTTTAAAAAGTGCAAATGAATCCTAAAAAACAAATAATTCAAAAAGCAAGTAAAAAAAAAATAAAAAATACTTCATCTTCTCCAACCCACCCCACCTCTAAATTCAACCTCATCCACTGCAACCATGTTCACCACCTCGAAATTCAACTTTAAGCTCAGCTAACTGGTGGGATTTTGATGTAACAATTTAAAAATCTTATTTTTCATGTTTTAGGTATTAACTAGTGAATCGTTATGCCACATTGATAGAAAATTAAATCAATCCTTAGAACTTTTCTATGTGAGCTCTCCCATTACTTTGTTAAAATAAAAATATCCAAATTGATCCCCATATTTCAATGTTTGTTTCTTATACATCCTTTTGTCGATAAAATTCAGACAGAAAATATATTAAATTACGAGAATTGATTTTGAACATTTTTAAATAGTCGCTAAGTTTTTAACCCGCTTGCACCAACTAGTCACAATGCACACGCAAACTATTTCTCTTCCCCATTCGCAGCAAATCTGATCAGAACTTACATTTCGTTATAGGTTTATATGCCTAGTAATTTTACAAAACCCACCCGTGGTTAGTTTCCTTGAGTTTTTGTGTTGCAATTGAAATACATTAGTCTTGGCTTACTTGGTGAATTATTGTCCTTTACTCGTGCGGTTAAGGAACTACTTGTAACTTGACCATAGTTCCAAACTAGGAGTTCAAACTCAAGGATATCTTCGATAAAGAACTGATTTGAGCTATACAGACATGAACAGGTGATACATGCTTTTTTCTAAAAAGTGGGAACTTCAGGGTCGTGTTGATTTAAATTCTTGATAATTTAAAATCTGTATAATTATATCATTATTTTTTTTCCTTCCTAATATAGGTGTACATATCATGTTGAACACTTGCCCAAGGAATGCCGTGTCCCTAAAGTATCCTTCGATTGTTAGAAATTTAAAGAATATAAAAAAAATTAACTTGAAGATGCCAGAAAAATTATGTTAGTGTGCATATGCTCCAACGCCTTTTGATCCTTTTAATTTTATACTAGTCTTTGTCTGTGCAATGCACGGGCTTGGTTATTTTGAAGGTAATGTTAGAGTGTTAAATGTGTTGGATTATCACGAAGTACATTTGTCTTGTATAGTTATAAAAAAATAAATAAGTAACTCTAGCATAAAAATCCTCACAATGAACTAAGGAAAATAAAGATCTCTAGCAAACTATATTTCCTATTCACTACATCACATGAGAATACTTGGAGGTCTTAGAGCATATTTGAGTTATAGCCTTGCTCGGAAGCCAAAGGTCACCCGATTATCGGCATCTCGCTGGCTCAAACTCTCCATTATTGAATTCCATCCACACTGCCTCAAAATTGCACCTGTTGATTTGTGACATAGATGTTGGATAATTTAATACTTTAAAATACCGGATCTTTCATGTTAAATCATCAAGAAATATAATAATTAAAGCGGAAGCATACCTGAATCTGACATGGTTAATGCAATATGGATTTCGCGGTATGATCTTCCAAATCTACACGCAGTCTCCTTTTCCTCTCTGTGATGGAATGCAGTAGAGAATGAATAATTCGTTGCGTGTGATCTGGGGACCATAACCTATTTATATGAGGATGCCCTTTGACCTAATTCGGCTCATCATAGAATTAGGACTTGGGCCCGGTCTCTACACATATGTAAACCCATACTTTAATTGGATACATTAAAGCCCAAAATCGAAACGTTATTAGATCACTTTAATCGGGCTCGACCGAATTCGATAGCTTATAATTTAACACACAATTATTTACACATACCAATCAGAGATTGGACTCTCACGAAGAAGACGAAGAAGAGAGAATGGAATACTCTGGAACCTCAGCCGCAGCTGGAGAGAAAGAAAAATGACGGTCCGAATCAATTAGGGCAAAAGGGGCCAAGTATATATATACCACAAGATCCACCATTAGATCAAGTTCAATCCAACGGTCAAGAGGCACCCATTTAACTGAAGAAAGGCGTGTTTGGCTGCATTAAAATATGCCACGCCAAAACACGTTTTTATCTACCATTTGGGCCGGGGCGGATCGGGTCATTTTATTGGGCAAGAGCCTAATTTGATAAAAACAGTTATTGGGCTTTTAGCCCATTTGTCATCACAGCCCAGAAAAAGAAAGGTCATTGGTCATCACAGCCCAACAATAAGGTACTATGCAAAGTGGAGGTTGTCCATCTTTGATAGTAATTTTTGAAATGACCCTACGAAACGGGGCTTCAAGGTATGTAGAAATTTGAAAAAGGGTCACAATTTGAGACAAAAGCTAGGACTGTGTGCTCTCTGTATTGGGTGGCTGGCCGTGATCAGTACTCACAGAATGAATTTGTGAACTCTCAGATGAAGCTGTTTATTCTTTGGCAATGGTAGATCCGAGATAGTGAACAGTTAAAGGGGTGAAGCCAATGGCAATGGTGAAGCCAAATCGTTGTTGGAGTTTCTTAGCTAAACCCAGAAAAGGATTTAGCCCCAATTTGGTCCCCATTACGTGAAAAAATTAATGGGTGCAATAATATTTTTTTGAAAAATGAATGGTTGAAAATGAAGGAAAAATTTTCAATTTTCGTTTGTAATATTATTTTATGGAAGATTGTGTGGTTAAAAATAGAAGAGAGAAAAATGAAATGTAATGTAATGAAAATTAATGGGGCTCAAACAGGTGCTTAGATGGTCCAGTGCCAGAAGTGGCAGCATCACTGTATGATGATGTGAGACTCACTGAATGCAATTTTGCCTGTTTTTTGTGTGTGTGTTTCTGTGTGGGTTGATGAAGAGTTAAAATGTTAGCTTTTGAAGTGGCCAAGTCTTTTGTCTCGAGGAATCTCTGCAGCCAATTGGAAGGTATTAATTGTCAATCAATCAAAAGGGAAAACGAATATAAAACTTGGTTATCTAAATGGCTAATAGGAAAGCTAAAAAGAAAACTTTTAAAAGTAAAAATAGGACTAAAAGCTCAAAAGATTTTTGCATAGTAAAGATGACAGCAAGCATTGAAATTCTTGAATTCCCTCAATACAGTAGGTGGCGCCTCCTGAGACTGCAATGTACTGATGGCGTACACGAGGCTCGGTCTAGTTGCCCTACCTCCCAAGTAGAATTCACGTACGCTCATGCCTAAACTCTGCATAGTTTCCACAATGTCACGATGAACCGTTTTTCAAGATACAATGGAGTTTATGAGCAAATTGAAGGCGATAAATGATTTTTCTATCGAGATAAAACAATCTCGAGTGAATTTGGCAGTTGAGATCTGAAAGAGAGGCTTCATGAGTATATATAAAGTTGAAACGTTATCGTTTTAACCATTATAATGCAGTAATTTCCAAAAGTTCCTCCCTTTAGATGGATTAAAATGAGTGGATTCTTGTCTTACAAGTTGATAAAAATCAATTTATTAAAAAGACTTTCTTGTCTATGGGATAAATAATAAGAGAGGTCTAAATGCAAGTGCTTAAGAGGAGGAAAAAGTTATGCATATATTTAAATTCCATTGGGAATTATGAGACCCTTCCCCTTGGTAGAGAGAAGGGCAGATACAAAATCATCCATTGCTTTAATAGACGACCCTTTAAAGCTTCCATCTTCTTTTACAGATGCTCTTATTAACTCTCCGATTTCGGCAGCCTTTTTCTTCATCTCCTTTCCTTTACCTCCTCTATCCATTACAATATTTATCACCCTCTTCACATCGTCTTTGGTAATAATAGACTGTAGTCCCCTGGTTAACTCTATAGACACACCCATTTCTTCCATTAGCATCTTTGAGTTATAGCCCTGCTCAGCCGCCAAAGGCCACCCGATTATCGGCACCCCCTGGCTCAAACTCTCCATGATTGAATTCCATCCACAGTGGCTTATAAATGCACCAATTGATTTGTGGCATAAAATCTCCAACTGGGGTGCCCATTTGTGTACTAGAAGACCTTGCTTTGTCTTCGCCATTTCTTCTTCAAACCCTTGTGGCAGCCATTCGGGTTTGAATTCACCTCTTATGTTGTTACCAACAGGAGGTCTTATGGCCCAAATGAATGGCTTTTTACTATCCTCCAAACCCGTAGCCAATGCCATCATTTGCGATGGACCGATGGTGTTTTGGGAACCAAAAGATATGTAAAGAACTGATTGTTCTGAATGCATATCTAGCCATTCAAGGCATCTATCAGGAGACACTCCTGGTTCTACCCCAGCATGTCTCCCAATTATTCTTGAACCCGAAGCTGAAGAAGATTCTGTGCTCAGCATTCTTGGTGGGATGAGAGGTCCAATGCACCAAATAGGAAGTCTTTTGTTTTTCTTAAGCACATCTAAGCCTAATGGCTCTATTTCTTCAACAGTGTTACACAACCACCCAAAAGATCCTAAAGAAAGTGAGATCTGAGGCTGAAAGAACCTGGACCATGGATCAGTACCATCTGCATCTCTCAGATATTGATGAAGCTGGGATACATGGAACCGGGACGAATTTGGAAATCCCGGTAGACAAAACTCGTCTTCCCCGGTTGAACGGTGCGGGAGATGCTGCCACAAAGACATATAAGCTGCAGTGCCATAGGCACCCCCTGTGGTGAAAGACACATTCACAGTTCCACAAGACTTGGCGACATCAGTAGCCCATCCCATGAAAAAATCAGAGATTATGCATAGTGGAGGCTGCCCATCTTTGACAGTGATTTCATTTACGAGGCTGCGAAATGGAGCTTCGAGGGCAGTTGAGGAATGAAAAAGGTTCACAATTTGAGTTAAAGGCAAGGCCTCTGTGTTCTCGGTATTGGGTGGTAGGCCATGATCAGTGCTGTTAAAAGGAAGCTCCGCTAAATGTATTTGTGATGTTACAGTTGAAGCCTTGGCTATGGTAGATTTGAGATAGGTAACATTTAAAGGGGTGCTGGCAATGGTTATGGTGAAGCCAAATCTTTGTTGGATTTGCTTAGCTAAGCCCAGAAAAGGTATTAAATGGCCTTGTGCCATAAAAGGCAACAGCACTATATGTTCCTGTGAGCTTCCCATATCTTGTTTGGCGATGGCGGCGGGGATTTGTTGAAGAAGAAGATGAGGGTTTTGTCTTGAGGAATCTTAACCGCAAGCCAAAAGGAATACTTTGTGAATGCGCTGCATCACGCTCTTTCTTGGTACCTTTATATAATCAACCTTCGAGGATACCAATAAATGAAGAAGCCAAAGCAAATTTTCTGTCCACCGCCTTTTAGAGACTAATAAACGGATTTGTACATCCTCCGAATGACACTCCCCTCACAAGAGGGAGCCCGTAATTAATATATTATGTGTGGATCCCCCTTACTTACGAGAGAAGTGTCATTCGGAATGTCAATTCCGGATGTACAAATAACTTTATTGCTAATAAATATAAAGGCGCTTCTTTCTAACTTTACGATCGCACATTTTTTAAATTAATATCTAAATCTATTGAAAATATGAATTTTAGCCGCGCCAAACTAAGTCTTAAATTGAGATTAATTTTCATATCAATAATTCAACTCAACTATGTGCATATTAAACATAGCATTAATCTAGTCAAATATATGTTATCCACACATTTCACAAAATCTACTGTTTACTACTTACTATCAACCTATATCATAGGATCCATCAATGCCACATAAAGCTGTTGATGCATAGTCCACTCCAATTATAGGTACTCTATGATCCATCAATGCCACATAAAGCTGTTGATGCATACTCCACTCCAATTATAGGTACCCCATGAGAATCGATAGATTAAAATTTGCACAATACAAACATGAAACCTATTATGTTTCCTTCCCTCATATTTTGATTCTATCAATAAAATAGAGTCGATGCATCTAAAACCTCTTAGACATCACCGATCGTGGCATAAAATTGATCTAAATTGTGATTTAGATTTTCAAAGTGATCGAAAATCTCTTCAAAGAAGATATGCAAAGATAAAGCGAATTGTATTTTTAAGCCCCAAAAAGGGTAAAAATAGATATAAATTCATGTCTTTTTTTACATCCACAATAGGTAAAAAGTGATTTTAAATCTTTGTATTGGAGCAAAATTTGAATTAGATCCGCATAAATGTAAGTGAGGATGCAAAAGTTATTTTAAACATAATAATTTACATCTAATTTTACATCACAATTGAAGATACTCTTAAGTCTGAGTAGAGGTCTAAAAAACCTATTTAGGCTTTATGTCTAGAAGAAAATGAAGACTGTCCTGAAATATTCGCATATATGAATTTATTTTATTGGACATTTTTCTTTTATTTTTAAATAGATATTTAAAAAAAATAATGCTATATAGCACAAACTACTTTTTATGTCAACATATCATAGGTCCTATTATATGTACTATAACTCCTTTTATTTAACTGAAATTATAATTTAGTCCTTGTTTGAGCCCCATTATCTCACATCACATTATATTATTTGCAAATTTCAATGTGAAACATGGGCCCCACCACCAGACAATTCAGACATCAATCTTATAGCATGTAAATTTGTGCAGCACAAAATTACCACTTTGTCCTCCCAAATACTCCTACTGGTGGCTCAATTATGGACTTGAATTTTTCATACAAGACAAACAACAGCAAATAACAAATCTGGGGAGAATTCTTTCCTTTTGGCCCAAACGATCACTTCGAAAGATGGGAATTCTGCATAGTGATAAATGAGTTTACAGAGGTGGCTCCCACTTGAGTCAAAAAAGTGGGTTGAAATTTGATTGAAAATGTAATTTAATGTGAGTTAATGGGGCTCAAATAGGGGTCAATGTCATTAATACTTTTACCTAAATTGATGTTAAATATTACTGGTGCTAAAGCTACGTGAAAGACTAGAGCTCCACAATTGGTGAACGTGATTCAATTGAATTTGTACATTCCATAACAGTTAATAAAGCTTGAATTTTGTATCCCCGCTATTAATGTGGGAAGGAAAATCTCTATCTAACAAGTTGTATAATTAATTCTTTAATTTCCTAACTATGATTTAATTGAAAGACATAAAAGGCGAAAATTTGCCTTGATAATTGTTTACATAAAACTTTGTAAAAGAGGCCTCAAGTCGTGAACCAATGTAAATGGGGGCATTTCAGTCCCAATATGTAATATATAAACTGGGTTGTAAAATTTCAATGCTTGCCACTTTAATTTAGTCTATTATTATTCTCATTGTTAATACGAAGGGAGATTAATTTTCATATCAATAATTCAACTTAACTATGTGCATATTAAACATAGCATTAATCTAGTCAAAGATATTTTATCCACGCATTTCATAAAATTTACTGTTTACTACTTATTTACTATCGACCTATATCATAGGATCCTTCAATGCCAGATAAAGCTGTTGATGCATAGTCCACTCCATTTATAGGTACTCTATGATCCATCAATGCCACATAAAGCTGTTGATACATAGTCCACTCGAATTATAGGTACCCCATGAGAATCGATAGATTAAAATTTGCACAATACAAACATGAAACCTATTATGTTTCCTTCCCTCATATTTTGATTCTATCAATAAAATAGAGTCGGTACATCTAAAACCTCTTAGACATCACCAATCGTGGCATAAAATTGATCTAAATTGTCATTTAGATTTTCAAAATGATCGAAAACCTCTTCAAAGAAGATATGCAAAGAAAAAGCGAATTGTATTTTTAAGCCCCAAAAAAGGTAAAAATAGATATAAATTCATGTCTTTTTTTACATCCACAATAGGTAAAAAGTGATTTTAAATCTTTGTATTGGAGCAAATTTGAATTAGATCCGCATAAATGTAAATGAGGATGCAAAAGTTATTTTAAAAATAATAATTTACATCCAATTTTACATCACAATTGAGGATACTCTAAGTCTGAGTAGAGGTCTAGAAAACCTATTTAGGCTTTGATGTGTTATGTCTAGAAGAAAATGAGGACTGTCCTGAAATATTCGCATATATAAATTTATTTTATTGGACATTTTTCTTTTATTTTTAAATAGATATTTAAAAAAGAATAATGCTATATAGCACCAACTACTTTTTATGTCAACATATCATAGGTCCTATTATATGTACTATAACTCCTTTTATTTAACTGAAATTATAATTTAATGTCATTAATATTGTTACCTAAATTGATGTTAAATATCTTGGGTGCTAAAGCTACGAGAAAGACTAGAGCTCCACCATTGTTGAACGTGATTCAATTGAATTTGTGCATTCCATAACAGTTAGGAAAGGGACAATGCTTTATCAAGCACACCATTCAACGCCCGTTTGGCCTCCATTTTATTCTCATTTTTTCCTCATTTTTCCAATTTTTTTGTCAACAATAGTGGGCCTCCAATCAAAAAAATCAGACGGCTCCCTGACAAAAATTTGAGGCAACAGCTTTTCAGACATTTTGTTGAATTTAGAATTTTTGTCTTTCCATTTCTGCCCTCCATTTGAAATTTTATTCCTTAATTGTAGCACTTTTTGTCAATTGGAGTTTTATTTTTTAATTGAGGGCAAAACAATCAGAGAAATTTAACGGCATGGTACCGTGTTCTTTCATTTCTGACAGTTTCTTCAATGCTGTCGCCATCATCTACCACAAAAACTGTAGAAAAATGAGATAAGGTAAAAAAAATTGGCAAGAATCAGCATGAAACAGGCGCTCAATGTTGATTTCTTTACTTTTGTATCCCCGCTATTAATGTCGAAACAAAAAGAGTGATTGAACCCCAACCTTGAGAACCCCCACTGTCCCACTATGGAGCATTGTGAGGGAGGTAAATCGCGGGATGTGCCCCAACAGGTCAGGAAACAAAAGTTTGCCGGTACTTTGGTCTCCACAAAGAGTCAATTTCGTATCTCAGTAATCGAACATTCACACTGCGGCTACCAACAAGACTGAGACTACTTCACTCCCGTCATTTGCACCACAAGGTTATGCCTCCGGGGACATGTGGGAAGGAAAATCTCTATCTAACAAGTTGTCTAATTAATTCTTTAATTTTCTAAATATGATTTAATTGAAAGACATAAAAGGCGAAAATTTGCCTTGATAATTTTTTACATAAAACTTTGTAAAAGAGGCCTCAAGTCGTGAACCAATGTAAATGGGGGCATTTCAGTCCCAATATGTAATATATAAACTGGGTAGTAAAATATCAAAGCTTGCCACTTTAATTTAATCTATTATTATTCTCATTGTTAATACGAAGGGAGATTGGATGATTAACAATAAATTATGTAATGTTAAGTAGGGTTTAACTTAGATGAGTACCATGTCAGAAATTACGACGAGGGCATGTACTTAGATGACGCATCTATTTAAACCTTGAATAAGTATCGAGGCAAAAAGTACCACAGGGTATGGGTCACAAGTACTTTTGACAAACTCGTGTATATAAAAGTTGTCATGAGACCATGTTTTATGGAGGTTTAACAGTTGTCAAGATACTCTTGCTGCAATCAAGATCACAGCACATAGGGAAATACATGGAAATGACCCAAATAGAAAGGCCATTTTTCCAAAATAGCTTTTGGCTAATTTTGATACCCAAAATACCCCTTTATAATATTGCATAATAAGTTGATGAAATATATAAATCTTTCAATTTAGTCCTTAAAAAATCAAATACTGTATTAATTTTAATAGATTACCGATTTATTCGATTTATTAGATTTATTTAATTTATTTGATTTATGTTCGCTCTAAGTAACACCCCCATTTATTGGTATCAGAGCCATAGAGATCATGGAAATTAAAATAAAGAAAATAAATAATTATTGGTATTTAGAAGAAGAAAGAGGAAGTTATATATTTTTAAAACATATTCATAATAAATTAAAAATAATGACTTTGACAATAATTAAAGAACTTCCTAAAGAAATAAAAGAACAAATATTAGAAAAATTAATAATAGAGACAATAAAGGATATATATACATATGAGAAAATTATTAATATATGTGAAGATGAAGATAATAATTTATATTATAAAGAAAAATATGAGTACAATTATTAATACTCATCAAAAATTAAATAAATTACCTTTAAAAATGGGTCAAATACAAGAAGAAATATGAAATATAATGTTAATACCAAAAGGAATGAGAATACCAAATAATAGACAATTAACAAAACTAAAATGTGAAAGACTAACACTTGAGAGGAAATATTTTACTATAGTTAAAGAAGAATTAGTAGTTTCAGAAATAGTTGAGAGAAGATTTAGAAAAATAATAGATAA